ATATGTTTGAAAACATTAATATTTTTCACATACTATTGCATACGATGACACTATATAAATTAAAAATCGATTATAAGTTGAAGAAACTTGAACCGGCACCGAAAGCGTTCCGTGCTGTTGCTCTAACCAATAGAGCTACCGAGTAATTGCCCTCTTATTTCCAATATTGCTATTATTTTATTCATTACTTAGAAATGTGTCCCGCTAAAATTATATAATGTTAAATATATAATTATAAAATTTCAATGTTATATAATATCAAATAGTTGTATGTGCGCTGTTCAAGAGGGTTTTGCTGAAAATAAGTGTTGTAGCATAGCCGAACTGCAACTCATGCTGACGCACGCAAAATTAATTTAATCTTGTCGTAGTATTATTATTATTATTTCTATGTTAATTACATTTATTTCAACTATTAATTCTAATGAATGCCAAATAAAGAGATGTATTATTATTACTATAACCTTAACTTAATTATATTTATAAGAACCATCTTTATTGTTCAATGGTAGATTCAATGGCGCGAGAGATCATGTGTTCGAAACAACATACTTATATCGAAAGTGTCTTCGTATATATTCGTTTAAAGGCATGTGGTGAGAGACCGAAATGCTATTAACAAATTAATTGGAACGAAGATATCGAATATCGATCTGTGAAGACTTCCGGAATAATCTACCTTTCTCAGTTCACTACCTCGCTTCAAACTAATACCTTACATGCGATGGAAGCCAGGACGTATAACATTAGTGATTAGACGGACGATTTGTCTTATGTCCTCTCTATGTAATTCAGTCTATAATATCTTATTCTACTAATCATTAGATTGCTTTGACAATATACGTAAGGAAAAAAATATTATTATTTAATGGCAGTTACACAAACAAAGTTTAAATAAAACACTTTAACGGTTTAAATACGTCGATATGCCCCGATTATTAAACTTATGTTTTAAAACGATAAAGTGTTTTACTTTTGTACTATTGGATTTAACTTGACAGTATTTAAACAAAGTTCACTTTTTTAATGTAAAGTTACAATATAAAGTTTATCCATCTTTCAAATTAAGTTAACGCCAATTAAGAATCGTATCCACGATCCATTGGGTAACCATTGTGATATATATTAAGAAACATTACATACAAGAAATATGTAAGATTTTGTTACCACTTGAATTGTTTGACTATTAATTGCCTAATAAAATTCTCTCGGCTTCCACGATACAACGATATATAAAAATTATAATTTGCATACAAAGAATCGGCAAAGTTCACGTGCGAGAAGGCACGTACAATGTTTACGATACGGCCCTTCGTTTAAGCGATATAAGGTTTTATTGCTACAATGGCACACATGCAATGTAAAAAGCATATCTTCTTATTTAGGATATATTTATGTAATAAGATTATTGTAGATACCGCGTTCAACGTTTTCGGGAGACGTTATAAGAATTCGTTTTGATGTCCAAATGAAAAATTTATGCCTTTTTAGGCTAAATACTGTCTATATTTTACGCGAGTAGTACACATTTAAATAAAACACTTTAACGGTTTAAAACGCGATAAATTAGATAAACTTATTTTTAAATGATTTTTAACTTCGGCCCGACGTTTCGACTTTTTTAGGATTTCAAATTTTGTTTTTATATTATAGTTTGCATAGTTTTTGTATATTTTTTTTGTTGCGTAGCAGTGCTTTTTCAGTACAATAGTGTACTTATTCGTCGTTGTTTTAATTAACTTTAAACACACGTATAATGTTTAAAATACGCATAATTTTAAACTAAAAAAATAATTTAATTTACTTTGATGATAGAACCCCAAGCTTGCTTGTCCTCCACAAGCAAGCTTGGGCTCTTGTTCACTTGATGGCTTTGAATATTCCAATGTCATTAGGAATTAATGATAACAACAACTGGGTTTATAAATGAGTAGAAAGGGTTTGTTATTCATTCAGTTTTGTGTGCAACTTATTTCTTCGAAAACGTTCAATTTTTCATTATTACATTACTTAGTAACCTTCCTTCATATTTCAATATTAGCGGACACATAATGGTACTTAGCTGTGTCAATTCGTACTGTGTTATATCTATTTAAAGCCGTAGTCTCCTCTAAACGCTATGGGTCGAATATAGGCTCAGCAATATTTCGTATTACAAGAGTCTGTCGGTTTAAATAAAGGAGACCATCATTCCTGCTTTTAATATAAAGTAGAAAATTTAATGCGATTTCTTAATATTTGTAAAGCTATAAGTTAAAAATCGATTATTAATTATAAGAAAAATTTACGACAAGGGGAGGACTTGAACCGCGTTCCGTGTTATTGCTCTAACCAATTGAGCTACCGTGTCCTACACGTCATCGTCTATTTTTTTAAATCTATTGATAGATGCACCTCTTGCGAAACTCTTTCAAGAAAAAAACAATTATTCGTTTAAATACTGTCTATAGTTTACGCGAGTAGTACACATTTAAATAAAACACTTTAACGGTTTAAAACGCGATATATTAGTTAGAAAATGATTTTTAACTTCAGCCCGACGTTTCGGATGCTTTGCAGCAGCCGTGGTGACGGGGAGACGGTCCCCGTGACCACGGCTGCAAATCATTTTCAAATAAGTTTAACTGATATATCGCTTTTTAAACCGTTAAAGTGTTTTATTTAAATTATTCCTTGAAGTAAAGTTTGTGTAGTGGTCTTCGGTTTAATATAATAAGTATTTTTTAAATATTTTCTACTATTTTACAAAAACAAAGAGATTTAATTTATCATTGGAATGATTAAAGATTTTCGAAAATTTTAATCGTTATTAGTCGGTTTTTCTTATTTTTAGTTTTTTTTGTAAGGTTGAGCTGTAAGTCACACGGCTTATTGCGTTTATAAGAGGTCCCAGCCCTCTACGTTCAAGTACCTTAATGAGCGTGAGTGTACTTCACTGGCAAATTTTAGTTTTGAAAATGTTTTAATTAAAACCAACTAATTATAAAGTTTCTTGCTTTCACTTTGGATTTGTCGACCTTTATCATGTCTTGTTTGACTTTGAAATTTCGAAATACATTCAGCGGACAAAAATATACGTTTCGCTTGATGATGGATATATAAATGTATAATATTGTTTTTGTATTCGTCAAAAGTATTACAATTTGATTGTTCCTATATGTTTTTCTATTGTTACCATATTCTAGTTCAGAGCTTCGCTTCTATACATTCAGTAAATACCAATAATATGTACAATGACTTTTTATAAGTGATGCCTTCCAGGGAGGACTGTATTATTATATATAATCCCTTAAAAGGTGGTGGGAGTATTCTGGCCCACATAAACGTGGAATAAGTATATAAGAAATGGACTTACGTTTACGATTGACGGCGCCTGTCTCATGGCCGGGGATCCTTCTTTCTTGATTTGTTGCTGTCGTAAAAAGTACAGGATCGACCCTTCCTGTACACCGAATCGTTTAATTTCAACAACTTCAATGATTGCTGATGAAAGCTTGTGCGTCATTCCGCGTCGGTGCTTAAGCTTGTACAACCGTAAACGCGGAAGAGGGATAAATATAGAATAGAGTGAGAGGAATAGGCATAGAGGATAGTCTATGAAGCCAGAACAATAGCCAGGGTGGCGGGTCGAGGAAACGGAAGTAGTCGCTAACACATGGTAAAAAGTTTAATAGAGTAAAGTTATTTATATACAAGACACATAATATTTTCAAGGACTTTATAGTCGATCAGATTATGCATTAGATAGGACTTTAAAGAAGACTAAAACCCAATTGTTTTTTATTCAGTAACGTCACTATTTAACATAAGATAATGTCTTTTTTATAAAATTATTATGCTAACAGCTAAACCTCCTTAACGGTTTTAGAAAAGATTAAAATAATGTACGTGTTATTTCCATATCTTGTCCTTTAAGATGTGTTAAGTACGATTTTAGAGAAATTTTATTTTTACTATTTTTCTCTCTTATTTATAGAGGCATGTAATATATCGGTTTGGTTTGCAGAGGGAATGGGAGTGTTCGGAGAGGTGGGCAGTAAAGTAAACAAACGCGAGGCTTCTCCATAAACATTTATTAGTATAATATATCTTTTTCCATATTTCATTATCCTTAAATATAATTATCGTCACCCCATAGAGCGACACATAAGACACTACATACAGAAGATCTACTAGGCTGCAATTCTATATTACCCCCTGTCTGAGAGTCGCGTAAAGTACATTAAAGATTCGTTCATTATAAGAATTATACTTTGACACATATATATTTAAAAATCTAAGTTGCCAATCGCAAATACAAATGGCTGTTTTATATAAAGGCTTACGATAGCGTCCTTCACCAAGTTTCCGAAAGTCTCTTACATGACTAGAACATTTAAAAGTCTCTATATTTAGCTACTCTATAGACATAAGTTTACCACCAATTAACTGATCTACACTTACTCTACATACATACATAAGCGGACTGCAGCGAAAGACGGGTGCGTGGTGAAAAGAAGAACAAAATAAAAATGTACCAGGAACCCATACTTTGCGGCAGTCCGGGGTCTAATCGACCGAGTATGTGTCGTGGCGTACTGATTAGGCAATAAGGCTGGGTGATTGCCCAATCAAGTAAGCGGACACTCGGCGCGATTAGAAGTGCTGGGAAATCATAGGCTTTGTAAAACTGGTCCAAATTCCGAAATAAAATCCCTGTTTCAATCGGATAGATATGAGAATGAAAAAACGCAACGGGTCCAGTTGAGAGGTCGAAAACGGTCGGTCAGTTGTAAGGGTATCTTTTATGGACGAACTGCGATGTAAGGTCGCAAATCTAATGAACTAGGCACTGTCATATATTACTCTCTATTAAAAGCTTTGAATACTTCAAGATAGTAAAAATATGATAATTCCTTCTTTCAACCTTTCATAACACTCTACTAAAACCATAAGAAGGCAAGTAAGAGACGTTATGAAAGGGTCGAATGCGCATCGCAGTTCGCCGGCTAATCGTGCAGTTAGCCCCACTTCTGGAAGAGGCCCATGCGCTGGCAGCGGCAATTTGAGCCCCACAGGTTGCAGCGGCACGACGAAGAGTGGCAGCAGTCGCCAGGGCGATGGTCGCAGTTGCCCCCGCGGCGGATGCACGCGCGTCTGAAAACGTAGATCAGCGACGATCGTCTGAAACCATCATCCACTAGCCTAAGGACTGATATCTCAATCCTAACTTTAGGTCTTGCACACAATATTTTCGATGTATGACGTTAATTCATCCATGCACATTTAGCAACAATCGATTATTTAATAATCGATTGTATGTATCGAGGTCGAAATCGGATCGTAATTTGACAGTGACAGTTGTTTTATTGACATTTCGATAATATTCAGCTACCGAATAATAATTGAAATATTTCTTTTAACAAAGATTTTATGAATAAGAAATACTTTTAAATTATTTTTATAAGGTGAAAGAAGAGAAGTAGGAAATTAGTTAGACGTACGTATTTTACATACATCGAAAATACGTTATATCACTATTGAAATTCCCCATATTGCCAGGTGAAGGCTTGCCTAACCGAGGTCTAAAGAGCTCAACATACGCTACAGCATAAAATACATTTAGGAATATACAAAAATGGTTAACACCTGTGGTACAGGTATTGATCTAATTCAGTAATCCTAAAATAATGTTTTGCCTGTTGTTAAATGATTAAACTCTTGGATTCGAATCCCGGGGTTTATCTGACAGAAGTCTGATCAACTACTTGCCTGTAAATAAAACCAATCAGTGAAACGGACACAGAAATGTGTTCGCCCCAATTTTAAATAACTTTAGTTATAAGAAGCGAACGATATAATATAATGTACTTTAAAAATTGATAGTTTCAGAAACGTTAAGAAATATTGACCTAAATAAAAGAAGAGCCCCTTATATAGGTAATTTAGATGATTAAACATTATATTACAAGGCTATGTTGATTGTAATGATTAAACTCACTTGCCAACATCCTGAAGCACTTGCAGATCGTTGGGATCGTCTCCGTATTCTGGGCCGTTCATTTCGATGTCTTCGTCTCCTAAAAAGAAATATCGATTTATACAAAAATCGTACCTTATATACGGTATCTGTCCATAAAAAAATGTGTTAGTTGACAGTTCATTTATTATTACTCCGTAAATATTGTAATAATAAAAGATGCTACAACCGAACGGATGCTTTGAACGTTAGGACGTAGTTAAAAAAACGAAGTTTACTAATATATATCGCGTTTTAAACCGTTATTGTTTTATTTAAATACGTACTACTCGCGTAAACAACAGACAGTATTTAAAAGAGTGGAAGCCAAATTATTTGCCTTTTGTTATTAACTTTATATAGCCTGCTGTGCATCTGAAATCTTAAGAATTCGATTACAGCAGAACAGGAGCTGGTTGAAACATATCAGCTCGTTTATATTCTTCGGTGTTATTCACAGCAAGTATCTCGTGACACTAATATATTCCGTAATCGGCTTTGGTACGAGCTTCGCTTCGAGACAGGGGATTAAATGTACGAATTTTAACAACGCGTAAGGTCTTAGCGAAATCTACCCATCTTATCCCATTAAAATATTACACTAGGATACAATCCTAAATATTCCCAGTAGAATAGATATTGAACATATAGCACCACCTACCTATAGTACTTTCTTGTTTTCCCTTCGCATTTGATTGCCAGGAAGAGATTGCGGTTTAGCGATAAGGCCGCCCTTTATTTATAAGCTAGTTCATAAATTTTTATTCATTTTTTTTATACATTGTGGTGTTTATAAATAATAAAGTTATATAAATAAATAAATATAATTCAAAGAATTTAATGCTTACTACGCATTTTTTGGAATGACTATCAGCCTCCCTTCGTAGAGCTAATTTTTGCTTCTAATTCCCATATTTTTAAGCTTAGTGTACTCGCTAATCACTTTAGCCACATAGCATATCATTTTTCAGGCTATTCGGCAGACGCAATCGAAAAGAGATTCTCGACGTTTCACCATCACTAATTAACTCATCGAGCAATCTGCTAACAACTCCTGATGATGCTGTCCGTTCGTGATGGCGCAACATCGACAACCTCTTCTCACTCACGTCGGCCGAACAGCCCGAAAAAGAAATGATATGCTGAACAATGGCCTTACAAAATTTATTTATGTTTCTGATCAATTTTTTGTGTGTTAGACTTCGTCTGGAAACCCCTATCCGTGAACACCACGTTTAGAGCAACAGCATGGTCGATGTGGATGCTGATTCAAGTCCCACCCGTGTCTTAAATTTTTTATTACATACTATAAAATGGGTTATCTAACTATATTTAAAATACTACATAATAAATATTGCGAACTCAAGTTATTCTTTTTAATTATCGATTATTATGATTAACGACTAAGTAAGCTTTAAAAGGACATATGATTAAGAGTGAGAAATTACCTGGGTCTATATAAGAGGCATGTGAGAAGTGCTGGGCCAGCACGGTTGCTGCTAGCACCAGCAAGAGTGCGCAGACGCGCGGCATGCTGCTCTCGCTGCAACCCCTGCTAATCTGAAAATTAAATATTTTTGACACTAAAAATATCTATTTAGGGAAACTGATCAAATAAGTTTAACGCTAATATATCGCGTTTTAAACCGGTTAGAAGTGTTTTATCTAAATATATTGAAGCAGTTAGAAATCTATTACAAACAATATATTTCGTTATTAATGCGAAAATGTTGTGGTTGTTTACGTTTTATATTGTTGTTAAAGAGATATTTTGTCTCCTTAAACTTATTCGTATGCTCGTGTCTTCATTCATAAAATGTAAAACTATTTTACGATATTTAAATATTTTTTTATTGATATAGTAGGACAGATAACTTTACTAGGGTTCACTACTAGGGGTTATGGGAGCTGAAATATCAGGTGGTTCGTTACCCGGACGGAATTTCGCTATTTTTACCAACCGGTGAACAGACGAAGTCCTACGGAAAAATGATAAATTAATTAGAAAATGTTCGATCCAGTGGGGATCAAAACCACGACCCGTTGATTATTGGACAAACACGAGGCCGTCAAAGATATATCAAGAATATTGTTCAGGTCGTCATAGCAACGAAGAATACTTGTTCTATTTTAAATAAGCCTGCAACCAGGTGTTTCATTTGTCATGTCAACTCATGGTGGCTTAGCGTGAAAGATGACGTCTAAAGCTTAGTCTTAACTCCTTACTGTTTTCTCGAGTTGTACATATGAGGCTGCTAGAGACAGAGTGGCCTAATAACAAAAAACATGACTATTAATAAGGAGGAAAATAAAAATGCGCAATCAACTTAAGCAAAAATGAATTTATACTATTATTTGTGTAAAATTATGTTAACAATTTTTAGACTAGATTAATGTTTAGACTATAAATAAGTCAAGTCATAAAATTGTAGTTAGGCTACTCTGCCCCCAGTGGTCTTATGTATAAGAGTAGATATTCTTAGATCCCATTTCCGAATACAATCATGTTTGGAAAGTCGACAAGCCATACACACGTATTGTACACGTTGAAGTATCAAAACTTCTATATTATTTCGGACGCTAAGATCTTGCTGGCTTACCAAGTTGCTAAAGCTTAGTACGGCTTTCTATGCATGGACCACAGTCTATGACAAAACAAAATTGGCTATACAAATTTTAGTCGGCGATAAATACAATGTCAAATTTAATAGTGGCGTTGTGAAACCGTGGTCTCTCAATCAACGTGGGAAGCTTTTCTAAAGGATAAATTTTATTTACTTTTACTCTTATTATTTATTTATTTTATTTGATTAAGGACTGTCGACATTTTTTTTCACAATTACTGACATATGTAACTTAAACATTAAATATGAAAAAATAAAAACAACATTTTATAAAACAATTACAGACAGACATAAAGTTGCAAAGTTTAACAAAGACAAAATGAAGACTTGAATTATTATTATATTTTTCTAATCTTTCTACTTAAATGTGATTTTAGATCGAAAAAAAATGATATGATCAGGACTTGAACCGGCATCAACAGCGTTCTGTGCTGTTCTAACCAATGGAGCTACTATGTCCTACACGTCATTGTCAACCTTTTCCCAACCTATTTATACATCTCCCGCAATGTACTTTTATCTTATTTAATGTGATTTTCAGGCTCAATTCTTAAACAAGCTTTACCTAAAGGTAAGTTTTGGCATTGATCTTTAGAACTATATAGGGAAAATATAAGCCTCAAGGAAAACTGTCCCTGTGAGCTATCAACAAGATAAATAATCTCATTCATTCTATAGGAATCAGTATTATGTTACATTTACCCCAAGACACGGACAAAATAAAAGTAATATCAAAACGAATGTATTGGTATTATATAGAGATGTTTTCCTTGTATCATCCGGGGGTTAATCGGTGAAGGGTCGGAGGATTCGAGCTTCTTCTTTAATTGATACCAAGATTGGGGTCAAGAAAATTGTACTTTGAGTAATTTTCAAGTGAAGTACTTCAATTGAAATGTAACATACATATTTCATGCATAACGTTCCTCTTTTAAATTATTAAGTTATCCTAACTAATACATAAAGAAGAACTGAAGAGTTTGTTTGTTTGAACTCGTTAATTTCAGGAACTACTATAAATTTTAAGAATTGTGATTACGGTTCAAGATACCCACAAATATGTATGAAAGAATAGATTCCTCTTTTAAGAATAACGTTTTAAGAATGCGGACGAGATTTAGTATCGGTTACAGTTTAAGTTTATAGATGAAGAGGAGACTTGCAAAAATAAATTTGCATGCCCAAAATAACTATTCCATGCGGACGAAGTCGCTGGCACAGCTATTATGTATCATTATAAATTAGAGCTACACTAAAAATTTCTCTTGAATGATAATCTTTTAGTCTTTAGACGATACAACTACAAACACACATTCCACGTGAAAATAATTTAGCCCATTATTTTTGTACTGAAGATCATTACATACGTTTGAAAACTTTAGTATTTTTCACATGTTATTGCACACGTAAAGATCTATATTGTGGGACTCGGTAGCTCCATTGATAGAGCAACAGCACGGAACGCTGACGATGCCGGTTCAAGTACTGCCCGAGTCGAATTTTTTTTTTCGATTTTTTCAAATCATTACATATATTAAATATCCTACTATTCTGTTACAAATTGTTGTTCCCCTTTAATAGGGGCTTGTATATGATTTTAGCGACAAGATCCTTACACTTCTGTGTCTTATTTGGTCAAAGCTATTGTTTTCCCAATATTTAGACATTCATGCAAGAAACTGGTCGAGTCATACCCTGGACGGTCATAAATGTTTTTATAAAAGTAGTTTATAAAATAAACGAATGATTTAAATAGTAAAATTCATCTCGACTATCATAAATTACGACAATACAGAGATCGCTCTATTCAAGCGGTCTCTGAATAGGAAACTGTCTCGGAAACTATTTAGATAAAAGATATTTTCATGTCATTTATACAATTGGAGATTAAAATGTTTCTAGATAACAAGTGTTTATTTATAACACGGCAATTGTTTTCCTAGAGATGAAGCAATCATTCTATTTGTTTTGAAATGTCCAGTATTAAGCACGTTAATAGACCAATAATTTTATTTTGACGGGCTGGTTAGTCTTATAATAGCAATGTATGGCTAATAACCAACGCGGGTTCTATCCCCACCGTGTCCAACATGATTCTATTTGATTCAATTTATAATTTCAGACTGGAAATCTGGAAATATTAAATAGGTGGTAGGAATATAGAGATTCCGTCCGGATCACGTCCACAGATGAAAAAGCCAGAAGCTTAATCGCGTTTCGGTTTCAGTCGGTTGATTTCCGAATATCCTAAGCCAATAGGTGCACAGCGCATTTTGTTTAGATGCTATAGGCTAGGGTATGTCACCTTGCCAAGTGAACATATTTAGCATAGCACAGCATATAAATAACTGGAATTTGTTTACAGTAGAAGTAAGGCAAGGTTAGGTTGGGTTGAGATTACTACCATATGTTCATTTGTAAGTAGAAAATATCAGTTCCACACTTATATTATCTTGAATAGTTCATATTTTAAATACCCACTGAAATATGAGGTACACGTATTAACATTCGATGATAGTATCCAGGAAATGATTGCTCAAGTGGAAGAGAGCGGGTTCGAGTCGCGCAAAAATATGTTTTCTTTTTTATAAAATGTATTTTGACCACATTGAATTGTTATGTATACTTATATATATACATTCATATAGCCTTTTATTTTTGTGTAAACCTTTGGACATTTTAAATTTCAAAGCCTCGACAACGGACTTAAACAGGAAACTTTGAACTAATCACAAATTGTCACTAACTTTGCAAGGGTTGAACTACTTGTACGTGAATGTAGGAGCTTACCTAACCCTATATATATAGCCAAGCCATTTCAGAACTTCAGACTAACAAGTAACAATACAATGTTTTGAACAAATGGACGACAATTTGATTGTATTATTTTGTTCGTAAGTTTCACAAACCTATAACAATACCAATAGTACTGTACATACCATGTGAAATATACATATTCGTACATCAACAAAATGGTACATACAAAAATAAGATTTACTATTTTATATATTAGTCATTAGGATATTGAAAACTTTCTAAAAACTAAATATATAACAAGTGATGGCTATAACTTTACATTTGAAATTACGTAGGGCTCGGACGTTCTTGTTGGTTAATTAAAATAGAAAAGATAGACATTTATTATAAACCAAGGACTAACTCTCAAACTCTGGTTTAATCCCTGGTTTATTTGAAATCCGTAATACTAAACGAAGTTTAACGTTTGTACTGGACTAACTGTGGTACTAACTTAGATTTATTTAGACCATGGTTTAAGAGTTAAACCAAGACTCCGCGCAGTTCTGGTTTAAGTATTTTTTTGTAATAAGGCCGATAGTGTCACGGATTTTTTTTTTCACCATTTAAAAAGGAATTATTCTTTTATACACACTTTTTTGGTGTCTTGAACCATTTTCACAGTGTACGCATTGGAAACTCAATAAATAAAACCCTTTTTTTTACATTTTTCGCTGTTTCTTCGCCCCTATTAGTCACAGCACGATGTTTTGTAGTCTATAGCCTTCTTCGATAAATGCTCTAACGAACACCAAAATATGTTTTTAATTCAAAATAGTAGTTCTTGATATTTGCTTCAAAGATTGTTGTAATTAACTAAACACATCGATATTAAACCGTATAGTATCTAATCATTTCAATGGTTGATCGCATTTATTACCTCCCATTCCTTAAGGGATATTAAACCTCAAGCTAGGATAGGGTGTAACCACACCGCTTCAATACAACTTTGATTACTTCTCGATTGATTGGATTTTCACTAGTACACAATCTGTCACTTAAGACTAGGATTTCATCGTGGGCCCAACTCATATTATAAAATAGAAAGGTTTGTTTGTTTGGCTACACTATTTTTGGTCAATACAGGTTATATAAAATTTAAAAAGATATTCT